CTCAATGGAGTCCTGAGATCACGTGATCGCAGCACATTTTCAGCAGCACAGGTGTGCAAACGATACCATCAACAGAAAGCAACACCCGGCTGATATCCCAGAGGCCCACTCCCGGAAAGCGGAAACTCGAGGCTCTAAGGCGGAGCAGCTGGCAGAGGAGCTCTCGGCGTCCCCTTTGCCCTTCGAGGAGACCTGGCAGCCACAAGAGCTGCAGGCGGGATGGGAGGCCACGCATGAATACTCACGGTTTTGTCAAAACTACACGAGTCAAAGCTCGCAAGGTAAACAAAAATGCGCCCTGAAGAACGTGGATTCAACATAGACTCCGTAAGTGTCCAACATACCATGGACGAGGCTAGATGAATAGTTACTTGGCAAGAGCCAGTTTTGCGGTTTTTGCCATCCAATTCTACATCAGGTTTTCAAATTACTCTGAAAATTGCAGGTGCGTACCAAGGGACGCATGATATTGTCCAATTCGGGCCGAACCGGCTGGCTTAGGCGGCGGTAGCACTCTACTTGTCTTCCTTCCTGACGGAGGCCGGTTGCTTTTTTGGGCTTCCAGTGAGAGAAAACTCAGGGTTTGTGCTGAAGCGAGGCCAAAGAAAAAAGAATCCCTGTAATTTGAAATAATCAGAAACTTCATTCGGAGCGGTTGCAATGCTAGCGTTGGAATAGCTATCGCCCGGAACTAGCTCGAACGAGTTTGAACACGACAGTGTTGAGCAACGCTTGATGACTGGAAAGCCAATGACACGTGCAACAGGCACCCGCCTTAGCTGCAACCTGCTTGATGATCATTTGATGAGCGACACGGACAGATGGTCAGTAGACTTCGCCAATTGTTTCCAGCCACGCATTCGCAAAAGAACTGATTGTTTTGGGTTACATCAAGCAGTTCTCACAACCTATCCAAAAGTGCCAACACGGAACCTGCAAGCGTACCACAGGGTCTAGTCGATCAACGATTCCTTGCATGATGCATCAGATTGCAGAGAGCGCCAAGTGAATCTGCCGTTTTACTGTCAATGGAGCGTGAGCACAAGCCACGAGTTTTTTGGAGCCTTAAGTTTGTGATGACGTTCAGACGGCACCCCCATAAAGTTTTTAATGCGTTGTGTTACGCCGGGACTCGCTCGCAGGCCGACGTTCCCCTGGAGCGATTGAGGGCACGCTGGGATTTGGCAGAATTGCTGGAGGCAGAGTTGGAATGACGGTTTGGCTTGGGACCCTCCCGGGTTGAGTTTTACCAGGGGCCTGATGGACAGGAGACGCCAACCACTGCCTGCTCCGCAGCGCCGACCGGCCATCGGATCCAAAGCCGCGGGCAACTGGGCAGACTGAAGTCTGATTGACATGGGTCTCTAAACGGGCAGAACCCTCAAAATTGAGTTCCCTTGCAACCCCCAAAGTGACCAATGCATTGTGTGACATTTGTATGCCTGAAGCATGAAAACATATGAAAACAGATAGGGAAAGCCACGATTCGACTAAGGAGAGCTGCGGCAAAGCGCTTGCAGGCTGGAAGGGGTCTTGAAATCGGGGAATCCAATGTGCTTTGTTTCTGCTCTGTGTTTCCCTTCCAAAATGTACGAATGCAAAAAGGCGGCCTTTTCCACAACGAACCAATCGCGCAAGACCCCATTCCATGATTGAAGGGAGAACGTGTTTCCCGGATCGATGAGACAATGTTTGCCAGCGCCGCCTTGAATTAGCGCGTGGCATGTAATTGCATGGTGCAATGAAAGTCATTGCGCATTGCCCGTATGTGCGAAGTTGTTGAGATTGTGGTCCTTCAATCAAGGAGCAGATACAATGCTAATCAGCTAATCGCTGGCTGGTTTGGGCTAGATTCTTTCGGGGAGGGCTGACTCACAACTTGCTCACTTCACGTCATACCATAATTATAATATAGTGCCAAGTATTTGCTTTTCGTCGGAAAGGGGAAGGGTTTGTGCTTTGGCCAACCCTGGAAAGAGCGTAGTCGCGGGCCTTGCCGAGGGCTTACACTGTTCGCGGGCTACGCAAGAAAGCCGGGCCCATCAAGTCTCAGGAAGTCTGTTCACAACCTCAATTCCTTGGTGTAGTGGCTTAGAAAAACGACGAACTGTTGATTTTGCACTAAAATGCAAGACATCCTGCAAGCAGGGACCAAGGAATATCATGGAATATTTAGGTATTTTACCGTTGCTCGTGAGATATTTGACCTTTACTTATTCGACCTGGCGACGGCAGTGGCACCTCTTTTTCTTTGTATTGGGGGGGGGGACGGTTCTCCCGATTGTCCACCAATAAATGAGGAGTTCTTTTTCGCAGGGTCCGAATTCCCTCCCCTTCAATTGGTGCTTGAAGACATGAATCGTAAAGCGACCATTTTTCAGCTGATCCCCGCTTAATCCCGCAACCCCGACCCGACTTCATCCTTCACCCAATCCCTAAAGGCCCCCCCTCAACCCCAGCCCAAACCCGAGGCGCTGCCGAAAGCACATCGAGTTCCTGTGGCGCTGGACTCGCTTGTCGCTCGCTTCCCGCTCGCTACTTGCCCTGTGCCAATCCAAACCCGTGGGACTTGCAGCCTTCACAGCTAAGCGAGGCGCCGTGTCTCGCACTGGTTTTTTTGGCAAGGCCGAGGCTTGGGCCTTGCCTGTTGCTCTTCTGACTTCTGCGGTCCAGTATGTTTCCATCAACCTGTCAAAGCCAGGGGAAGTCTTTGGGGTCCTTGATGCAGCGTCCCTCAGGGAAGTGGTCTTCCGACCTGCTGTCATTTTCCGTATGAGCCGAAGAAGGCATGAGTTGATGCCGGATTGTTTGCACTCAGGAGGAGCATTTCCTATCCCAATACTATCCCACAAGAAGTTTGCCAGACTTGAAAAACTCACCTTTTTGGGCACCTTTACCCTTTTGTGTTTCCTTCATGGTTCCTTTCAACCACCAAAAGATAATTGTTTCCACGGGGTCTAAGTCTGGCCAAAGGAAGGTTCCTTCCGAACCTTTCTTGGGTATGCTTGGCGCAGGATTATGCAGATGACGTGCTTCAGGGCATGTTGGAGCCCAGCATCATCCGCAGCTTTCTCCACATGTTGCCTGGCAGAATCGAGGTAGCCTCACAGGTGGGCCTTAGGATGGATGTTGCATTTGATGACGTTTTAGGGAAACCAAACACAAACACACCATTTCGGGCTCAAGAACTTTGTGAGAACCCCGCCTGCCCCTGTGTTCAAGAATAGCTGATGCATGTGCATTTCATGGCACCAGAAGACTCCCTGAAGATGGAGGCGGTTCTTCATTTCGTCGCAATGACGGCTCAATCAGCCATGACTTCAGCTAGCTGTGTATGACAAGATCGAACATTTGCATGCATGAGCTCCCTGGATGTGCATGTCTACGCCAGCATTCCTGGTTTTCTTCTGTTCTATTAGCGTTGAAATCTGTCGCATTGGGCCGCTAGACATGCAAAGACAAATTCAACCAGCGCAACTGAGAACCTTAAAGGTAGTCACTGCGCCCTTGCCCTTCCTAGTTAGTTCAGCAGGTCTTCCAGGTCTGTGGGAATGGGGAGGTTAATCCGCCAGGTGTTTCAATGCGGGGTCCACATGACCAGGAGCATCCTTTACAGAGTCCGCAGCCACCAGCCCAGGTGCCTAAGCGCGGAAATAGAGATGAGAAAAGGGCTGAGCGAGTGGAATCCACAAGGGCAGGTTTCTTTGATGTTCAACCCGCTTGGTCGGCAATCTCAAGTCATGGCATGTAAGACATGGGTGTCCCAGGTTTGGTTTCAGTTTATCATGTTTCTACTTCAAACCGGAGATGCCTTTAGATCTTCAGGGGAGTGGGCAGTCACCCCAATTTTGGAGAGCTTAGCCGTGGAATTCTGGGTGGCCGCCGTTGATACTGGATGACGTGCGCTGCCTATGCAACTACAGCATGTGTTTGTCAAAAGGATGTGGCAGGAGTACTTTCTCCAGCATGTGCTTGAGCCCCTTCGTGTCGCCGCCGTTGGGTTTGGACAAGTTGGATAGTTCAAAGTGTGTGCTTGTATAGCCATAGATGTATTTGTGTGTATGTACACTTTCTACAAATATACATGTATGTATATGCATGTATATCAGCGAACCCTCTGGTGGTTGAGTAGCGTTGTTTTCTCAGATGATGGAGTTTAGCTTCGGGGGGAACTCCCAAAAGGTCCGCGAAGGCACTTGTGTGATACATTGTGTGCCGCGAAGCCCCGCGAAGCCAATTCGCGTAGCCCAGAAACAGAAACATTGACACAGGTAAAGCCTCTTTGTGGCTATAGTGTGTTATGTGCTTTCATGGCAGTAGCATGCCAAAGGTTGATGTATAGAATCACTTTGAGATGGCTGCCGGGAGCCTATGACAAGACTACAGGAAGATTGCACCAGAAGATTGTGGGAAGACGACAGGAAGACGATGCCCGGTTTTTCTAGAAACGATGGACCGCTCTGCGAAGCCTCCGCGCAGCCACCGCGGTCCAACTTTCATGCATGCGCCACCCCTTTGAGGCCCAGCCATGTCCCCTAGTCCTGAGGCTCAATGTCTCGCTTGCCGCCCCTCGTCGCGCCGCTCGCATAGACTCAACTTGATTGAACCAAATGAGAGCACAAACGTTAGATATCTTTGTGGAACAAACGTCCGTGAAGCCCGGCGCCACTCCACAAAGCCACAGTCTTGCCGTGAAACCTAGCGAAGCCAACCCTTTCAGGAATTCTGGCTTCGTGAAGCCCCCGGCAGTGTATAAGCCCTGAATCAAATACATACATATATTGAACATGCATGTGTATCAGTGAACCTTCAGGTGGTCTGGGACCTTCACGATGGAGCCCATGGTCTTATGACCTGCTTATCTTGGGTGCAAAGAACCGAACACCCCCACAATCCTCCACAGACCCCCGGACTTGTAGAAAGGGTAGCGTTCGCAGCCGCCCAGCAGTGCAGCAGCCTCTGCCAATGTGGCCCTGAAAGCTGCAACCCGCTTGCGTGAGGCCACCCGGCTTGTTGCGCGGCAAGGCCTTACATGGGAGGCGCGCAACGCGTTGTTGGGGACGCTTTGCTTTTCTTTGCCCATGGCCATGGGCTTCACCTTTCCCACTTGTTCAGTGACACCAAATTTCCCTTGATGCCATTTTTGGCAGGGTCACCTGGCAACTGGGTGCTTAACCTTTTGGTTTCCCCATGTTGGTCCAGAAGTCCTGGCGCAAGAGGGACAATGGTCTATCTTCAGAGCCCTTTGGCAAGTCAGTAGGTGTAGTGAGCGATGTTCTGTAAAGCCGTCACCAGGACGTCCCACCCTCAGCCAACCGGTTAAGAGGAATACAGATTGGCGGGGTCAACCATTGCAGGGTTGATTGTTTGGCCTCCCTGGTCGAAAAACCGGGACACCCACGAGTGCAGCTTCCTTTTTAGTTTGAAGGCCCCTTTCTGTATTCAAAGATCTCGCAACTCAGGTCAAGACTTAAACTCTGATCGCTTGGCTTTCCAACAAATCGTGCAAACTAGAAATGCTAGGAAAAGGGGGAGCGCGCATTCCCCTCGAACGCAACTTCCTGCCGAATGTTTGCACATCTGATGTTGCTGGTGATGGGTTTTCTCCATGCAGATGCAAAAATTACAGGCCCCACGGAGCTGGCCCCCTGTACGCACACACACTTTTCCACCAACATGGAACCTGACTGGGGTCCCTGCAAAACCATTTGCCTCAAGCATTGCTTTGGTGAGTTCCATGTTAGTCGGTGGGGGGTTGCCCCTTTGTAATAAAACATGTGTTAGTTCGGGGCAGAACACAAAGCACCACTTTTTGGGGCTGTTGTTTTTTACGAAACAGAGGCGTGCCCTTTGATCCCTGATGTGATAAACAAGCTGCTTCAGCTGCATTTTGCCAGGCTTTGCAGCCCAACTCAGAGGTAGAGCTAGGAGCCCAGTGTTTGCACAGTGGCTTCCAGCCCTCGTCACGTTCCGCGAGTTCTTCCCCAATTGGTTCCCCACTTTGCTTATGGCCAACTGAAGGTGTCGGTTTGGCCCATGGCACTCATGCGCTTGGTTGATTGAGCGGAGGCAAGCGTGAAGGAGGGAGGCACCTTGAAGAGCTGAGCTAGGCCCTGAATATGTCACATTCATTCATGTTCGAGATCAACGCAGGTGTTGTTCCCTTGATTTTCAAGCCCCGAGATCACGTGCACATATTTAATCCTTCACCTGCGAGCCGGAACCTGCCGAACCAGCCAAGCTGTTCGCCACTTCTTTGACGCGTTCAGGCAAACCCGTATGGAAACCCATCAACACCTGGGGAGTTCGAGAGCCAGTTCTTTGGAGAGGATCCGGATCGCTCTTTTGCGAAACACACCCTTATTCACCAGGTTGGTGTCGAAATTTACACATTTCCTTCTGGGGAAGAGCTACGCTGAGGTGGCACTTTTGATAGGCTCACCTCCCAGTGAGTGGACTTGAAGCTTGTAGGGAAGTTCCATGCTCTTTCTGTGGAGGGAAAAATGGGATTGAAGGCTTGTGTTCTTTCTGGCGGCATAAGCATCAGCGCACTTGGTCAAGGTATTCCCAAGCCAGATGTCTAGTCCTTTTTGGGTTGCAGCAATAGCAACTGTACAGTCCTGTTGGTCTAGAAAACCCCTTGCAGGTAATACATGAGGTGCATTCCTTGTTGTTGAAGCGGCGTGCAACGAATGTGGTTTTGGAGCTGCTTTGGGAGCCGCCAGGCATGTTTATTTAATTGGAAGGCTGTTCGGGATTGATTTCAGTAAGATTCGTGAAGCGAGCGGTGCTTGTTGTCAGTCAATGGCAGTGTTTGTGCTTGCTTCCTGACACGCTGTCTAATGACACAGTGCTGTCCCTAGGCCGGTCAGCTCGACCACCTGATGACTGGCATGCCCCTGTTGTTTGGCATCAGTGGCATGAGTAGACGTGTAGAGTTATAGCCACGCCCGGAAACATGTATTGTCATGTATTATTACATGTGCTGTGCTGGGCCCTGCAGCCCCTCAGGCTGCGGAATGTGCGCGCATTAGCTCGCGGGGCTCTTAGAGCGGAGAGACATGATGACATGTGAAAACACAGAATGTTCGGCGGGCGGATTTCCCTGCCGGGTTTGGACATTGTACGGGTCACGAAGCCTCCACTTTGCAGCATCAAATGGATTCTGAACGTTCTGTGAGGGTACTTGACAAAGGCTCTCAAGAACCTCTGGGCAAAACCCTTCATGTGAGTGTGCACTGACCGCACTGACCCATTACGTTTTCATGAATAAGCTATGATAGGAGATGATTTAACCCAATACCGCGGGGTTCGGCGGCTCCCTTGTTCCTGAACTGGGCAACCCCCCAAAGGCCTCCCTTGTCATACCAGGGTCACTGGGCCAGTGGGAGCGGGTCAATAAGTCTTTCTTTGATTCAACAGGAAAGGGCGCGATTGTGGCTTTGATCAGATTCTGAAGCATCAGGTCACGTGTGAAGCAACTCGAATTCCAGACTTTTTGTGCAGAAAACCTCAAGGGGATATATTTGATTTTCGAATTCGCATATGGAACTGGCTGATCCGACATGGCCCATTGGTGTGTTGGAATGCAGTTGTTTGCCCAAGGGCCTCCAGTAGAAGGTGAATCTTCGGAATGTGCCACAACAGCAGGCAGAGCTAATGTTCGAGTCTTGCCTAATTTCACCAACTGAACTTCTTGAGCTTGGAATCCGGCCTTTGAGTTTTTTCCTGCCTGGTCCATTCTACGTTGGAACCCCAAAACGCTGACTTTTTCTTGCCATGTCCAATGCTTTGAACTTTGCTTGGGGATTCTAAGAAGGCTGCTTGCAAGCGGGTCCAAACAAGTTTCAACTGCGTTCAAACAGAGTGTTGCAAGCATCTCAGTCGCAACCACTCGCAGCAGCCATACGTGCCATGGACCTTCAACCCGGTCAATGCGTAAAGGTCATTGACAACGAGACGCGCCTGAGCCGAATGATGGGTACGCCGCCGCTCCGGAATTCAACTGGTTCTGCCTAATTTTTCTTTGGCAAGCTTGCTTGGCCTGGTGGCGAAGCGGGCTCACCATGATGCAAGTGTTTTTACGCTTAGGCATCCCTATTTCAGAGTTGTAGCAATATATTGCTGATTGGTTAGAGTTTGCGGACTCATATAATTAGTTTAGGGGGCCGAACCGGGGAAGGGGGGCTGTCGCATTGGAGGTTCACGATGGACATTGCACATCATTAGCATGGGAATGGTCCACCAATCATACCAATCATGTTTGAGTCACTAAGGGATTCTCTAATATGAACCATAGCCGGATGTAGCCAATTTCAGCGGCCTTTGTGCTTCCTCCGTTTGGGGCAGTAGCTTGCTAGCTTCAAGCGCTTCAACCTGAATTCACATCATGCTAGTGAAACTTTCAAGGATTTGTGACCAGATCCGCCGGAATCCCAGGGCTTTTGAACAGAGAGCTCTAACACAACAGATACAGCCTCTGAGCATGATCGACTCTTCGTTCGCCATGCTTCCCCCATGCTGTTGCAATCAAGTGATCTAACACACATATACATATATATGTATATATACGTATATTCTTTATTCATCACTTATGCCAATACCAACGTGCCTATGGCTTCTCGCCAGTTTTGTCAGCTGGTCGTCTGATCGCGGGTGTTTGCTCAACGTGTCGGCGATCTTCTTTTGAGCCTTGGGCACTCGGAGTTGGCCGAATGTCTTCGCGGGGTTGCAGCGCCAATCAGAGTTAGCACCGTGCCTTTCTTCAGGACCAGGACGCATTCAGCAAGTTGATCTTTTGAGTAACGCAAGGTCTGTATTTAGTCTACATCTCCTTCGGGCCACAACTCCTCTTGGGCCTTAACCAAAAGAGGGTAGCCCCTCTTTGGCTTGGTAACCTTGCTCATGGCAAGGTCCTGCCAACAATACGTTTATTCCTTGGGTCAGAATCCAGTCCTCTTTTCGCTGCGCAGCGAGGCTCTTGAGGGAGCTGGTCGCGGCTCACCAGGACCTGCACTGGACGCAGCTCTGCGAGCTGCAGTGTGGCTGCAGCGGCAGCGGCCTCAGCTCGAAACTCGGAAGTTCCCCCATACCCCCTTCGACTCGGGCAGGGGGAGGGGGGCACTTTGGGTGCGTTGGTTCCAAAGGCATACTTATCCATGGCTGTGTGTCCATGGTTACGACCAAACTTACTGGTTGCGTTGAACTTCCATGCTGTTCAGCGTGGGGGTTTAGAAGAGCTGGACGTCAAACTCCTAGCTACACGCAAGTACAGGAGCCGCAGAAAATCGGAGCACGCCCCGCTTGCGATAGGTATATTGCGGGAGGTGCACAGGATAGACCGAAGCGCCAAGCTGGAGCCCTGCATTCTGAAGGACGGAGCAGTGCAGGCGCTCCAGGCAGGAAGCCATCAGCATGGAGAGAGCAAGCCACTGGTCCAGTCAGTCCCCATTTAATTTTCACTGCATGTGGCCTGTTTGCAGGGTTCGGGCAGAGGACCGAGAGGTTACCGCAGAAAAAAGTTCCAAGCAAATTCTGGCAACTAATATGGCCATGCGCCACACAAAAAATGGGACAGCTCGTCTGGACACGGGACCACGCTACATTTCGGGCTGAACTCAGAACATCGACTGGGGAACACATGGTTTAGGTCATTAATTTGAGGTTTGATCAAAAGTTCCAGCAGTCTATGGTCCGCTCAAGAGGGACCTGGGGGACTGACTTAACTTCCCCAAGTGATGTTGATCATGGCTGCTTAGTTGTACACTCTTGCGCCGTGCCGGCCGTGCCGGCCCCTTCATATTTGCAGTCGCCTGTCCATGAGGGATTTGCCATGGCCACGTCACGTCCCGTGCATGTGCCCAAGTATTAAAATGTGTGTTTTTAGTCTACTCAGGAAGTTACATTGCAAGCCTCCATTCCCAGATGAATGAAAGGGAGAGGGTGCAGATCCCTTGACCCCACTTCTGGTGGACGGCTTACCGATGGTGCGGCAGAGAAAGAGAGAGAGAGAGACAGAGAGTGCAGATCAGATAAAAGTCGCTTTGATTCCACGCGTTTTTCATCTACTTGACCGCTAGTTGCCTCAGGGGGTGCAGTGGCTACCCATCGAAGCACTAGAGCCACTGCATCATGAGCTTCCGGAGCTGACCGCAGATGACGGAGGCGCCCACTGCTCGTGCCGACGACCAGTGCTGGTTGCAAATGGAAGCGAATAAACGTCCCATGTTCCCACCGAATGGTTCAAAGCACCCTTTGGACCAGTTTCAATAAATGAGCTTCCATTGTGCTTCTATTTCTGATTTTTGAGGGGGACAAGTAAGGAACTGTGGTTTGTAGACCGCTCAAATTGTTCAATCAACATTTCGCCCCAGGTCTCCCAAGACTAGATGTGTGTGTTGATTGGGCAATTTTGAGCCCCGCGTTCTCATAGGGATGGCGTTGATTTCCCAATGGGGAGATTGTTTTCCTGACTAGTCAGTTCTGCTCAGATGGAAGTTCCTAGAAATTTGGCGGCGGACCCAGCAGAGTTGTTAGAGATTTGGAGAAGGATCCACCGCAGGATGTGCCAATTGGATGTTCAAGTCTGTATAGGCAGTTAGAACAAGTTGGAACAAGTTAGAACCATGATTGTGAGTGGGGCAACCCTGAATGGTTGACATGTGCACAAGGTCCCAACCTGCTTCTGAAATTGCTGGGTGCATGATAGCCCTCAGCCTCTATTTGTTTAACACACAGCCTGCTTCCATTTTCCAGACACCCGAGTAGGTATCACATCCAAACAGCCTGGGCAGGCGTTGTCGACAGCGAAGCTCCTGCGGACGCCTCGGCGAAAGCAGCAAGGGAGCGGGACGAGGAGTGGACTGTGAGCTCTGGGAGGACGTTCCCGCCCTTTGACAGGGCCTACGTCGCTTTTTTTGAGGGTACTTGGTACCCAGTGGAGTTCTGTGCAAGGGAAGCCATGGGAAACACACCAAGTTTTGCTTTGGGTCCCATAGTCGCATTTTGAGGGTTGCTCAAAATTGCTTTGGGGGGTGGGTTCCATTGACACCACTGTTCAGAAGATTTTAATGCACAGTTGTGGGACATAATTCGGGTGGTGTTGGTGCACCTTCTTTGGTACTAAGGGAGCGCCCTTCAAAGTAACGCAAGAATTGCCTCCATTAGAGTCAAAGAAAGGCGTAGTTTCCATAAACGTGCTTCGACATGCTTCGACTGGAGAAATTGCCATAGACAGGCCTGTTTGGGCCTGCGACAGGGGTTTTCGCTAGAAGCTTTGTTTGTAGTGGACTTGTGCGGGAACAATGGGAACCCAGCATTTGGTCCAATTTGAGCAGGGTGTTTTTGAAGTGTGCAGGCTGACAGGCTGATTTTGTCTACCTTGGTCTCCCGGGCCCGCTGCACACCTTCAGCCTATGATTACAAAATGCGGAAAGCACATGTCCATTTCCCCCTATAGCAAAGCTTAAGGGTATGGACACCGTTGTTCATTGTTTCCAAATATGAGTGTTGTCCCATGTTTTTGCATGAGTTTCTCGATGCTCAACAAAGCCCTGATTTTTGTTTGTAAGACTCCTGAACGGTTGCCTAAAGTAACCAAATCAATGGGAGTGAGTGGGTAGGGTTCCGACACCTATGACGGTCCTTAATCTCTACGCCAGATATTGCGATATTGGCCGTTTCCCTTGTGGTGGTATCCCGCTACGGATGAGGATTGCCCTCAAGCGGTAGGTAGCTCATCTTCATCGCAGTGGGCATATGATCATTTTTTGGAGCACTTCACTTGGCCGTGCATCACAACCGGCACTTCTCGTCGAGGGCTGTGCAGGGCACAGTGTCCCCCAGGCCTCCATGTGCCCAATTGTCCTCAAAAAGGGTTCTTGGAGTTGGGATTTCAAGCGGATGGAGCGGAGGCAAGGGTCAAGTGCAAGGAGTCAAGTGCAATTGACTTGCGAGGAGTTAAAATCTCTTCTTAGGGCGGCGGGGTAGTGCCGACGACACTACACGAAAATCGACCCTCTGCGGGGATCGGCGTGGT